CATAAAATTTATCTAAATTAATAATAAATATAGTGATTTCACTAAAAATCAAAATTGTTAGGCTCCGTTTGGTTCCACAATTTTGTGTTTTTGGGAAATTTTTTTTTTGAAAAAAGTTAAAAAAAAAGTTGAATGGACGGATATTACGATGTAGGAATACAAATGTAAAATACACCCTATGTTTGTTTTTTTACAAAACACCCCTTATAATAAAACATAAAAGTTACAAAAACAACAGAATCAATATTTATCAATTTCTTAAAAAAATAAATGTTAAATTTATAATAATGAGTTGGTGATGTTAGGGATGAGGTCAAGAAGAGTGACCCACACCCACCCTTGATAATTAGGTTGCTTATTGCTGAAAAGCAAAGTAAAATCAAATAGATAATACAACACAAGCATGACGATAGGAAGTTTCTAAAGACCACAACATTGACCATGGCTTCTTATTATTAACACATCAAAACGACTTTCAATTGGAATTTATTTCCTTGGTTGATTATTCTAAGGGTTTTTGTCTAATTCGTGATTTTACTATTAATAAGCCACAACGTGTTTTTCCAAAGTCTAATTTTCAAATTGTTGCGTGTAAAAGAACAAAAATAATCATCTTTATTTAATAATTTTTTTTTTTGTAATCATTAGAAAGTGAAACATATGCCTCCTTTTTTTAAAACACATCTAAAGAATTTATTTGTCTAAATGATTCATGAATAATGATATGTGCAAAAACCAAATTATACTAATCCAAGTGCTAACAATTGAAATTTTGAAATTTTTTTTTTTTTTTTAAGTTGTTTTGGGGAATTGACTTGTCAATAAGAGATGTCTATCATGTCAGTTAGTACTTGGGTTATATGGTTTTTGGTTAGTGCACATAGCATTATTCGTGATTCATATCTCTTTCAATAGACGTACAAACAAATTTTACAAAAAAATTTATACAAATTGATGTAATAGAAAAATGAATAGAAAGTAAATATGACGAGTTTGACATTTTGTATTCATTTATTCATTCATTTTCTGCCACATTAGTTTGTAGAGAAATTTTTGTAAGATTTGTTTATACGTCTAGCATTATTGCTCTTAATATCATGTCATGTATATCCTAATCTCCAAATTGATATAAGAATCCATATAAAATTGTATAATACATAAAAACTTATGAGTAATATTATGTTTATAACTTATTCATACAAATAGACCAAAAAAAAAAAAAAAAAAAGTATAGAATAGTCATTTTATATAAATTTTGTGTAATTTTTTTTCAGTTTGTAAACATTATTTATCAATTCCATCGTACATAATCACCATTGATAATATCCGTATCATTTGACAAAACTAATTATGTTATAAATCAACTTAAAACTGAATTAAAACAATTTTTATTGTTCAATTTATGATTCGGTTGGAGAAAACATGTGACTATATATTTATTTGATAATGATTGTAATAGAAAAGTTGGAAACAATATTGGGTTTCAACTACACGTGTTCACACTTGATTGTAAAGGTGTAAGAAAGTATTTTGGAAACAGACGCGTTATTGGATTTTTAAGAAACGTATGAAATCATGTGCCTCTGCCTCCATTTGAAAGTCAATGAAAGAAATGTTTTAACCTTCCACGTATTTGACTTTGTCGACTTAAGCTTCTCCTATATATATATCAATACGGGATCTACATATACTCAATACATACATATTTTCTTCATCAATGGCGGATCATCAACAGAAAATCCATCCGGTGCACGAAGATGTCGAGGCCCAACACACACCATCAGTTCCATTGGTACCACGAGGCTCCTCAAAATCTGATCAAACTGCCCACCACTATCCTCCTTTTCAAAGAACTCTTCCTGTGCTTCACTCTAAACCACCCAAAAACAAAAGAAGTTGTTGCTGCAAGTTCTTATGTTGGACCATTTCTCTTCTTTTACTCCTCATTATCACCATTGCAATTGTTCTTGGAATATTATACCTTGCTTTCCAGCCAAAAATACCAAAATATTCCGTCGACAGAATGCGATTAATCCAGTTCAATTTTTCTGCCGATTCCAGCTTAGATGCGACCTTTAATGTTACTATTACTGCAACAAATCCGAACAAGAAAATAGGAATTTATTATGAAGGGGGGAGCCATATAAGTGTCTGGTACACAGATACAAAACTATGTCAAGGGTCAATGCCAAAATTCTACCAGGGTCATCAGAATACAACAGTGTTTAATTTGCCATTAACAGGTCAAACACAAGACGCCACCGCTTTGGCTACATCACTACAACAACAGCAGCAACAGACTGGGAATGTGCCATTGGATCTCAAGGTTGATCAGCCAGTGAGGATTAAGCTTGGGAAATTGAAGCTGATGAAGGTCCAATTTGCTGTGAGGTGCAGGCTGGTGGTAGATAGCTTAACCCAAGATAACTACTCCATTAATATTCAAAATAGTAGCTGTAAGTTTAGACTTAGGCTTTAGATAAAGTAATTAATATTTACTCTACATTTTGCTTTTCTTTATTACTTTTGACATTTTTTTCTTTAATTATGTTAAATAAAAATAGTGGAGGACTACTCTATTATGTAGTGGGTACCCTATATGTATATTTATTTTGTTGAATTTTGTGTAAATTACGTTATCAGATTATTTATCAAAGAACTACGTTTTATATTATTCTTCAACCAAGGTGGATAATAGCTTTTTTTTTTTTTTTTTGGTTTGCGTTTATCAAACTCTCAACTAATTTTTAGAATCATAAAATGTCGATGGTAAAAACTTCAATTGTTACCTTATTAAATATAGGGGAATTCAAATTCAAAAACTCATTAAATTTCTTTATCTTTAACATAGCCATTAAGTGGTTGGATGCTCCTTTACTTGTTAAGTTATATATTTTTCAGGAAAAAAAAATAAGAATAATTAAATATAATAGTGTAGTTGGTGGGACTTGATCAGCACATACCAACCAACTCTTGATATAATAATTCCGACATCGCTTTCTTAGTCAAGACATGAAATTGAAAAGTACCGTTATTGATTTAATAATTAAGAAAATTAATTTAGGGAACTATTCAATTGACCATAAAATTTATCTAAATTACTTAATAAATATAGATTCACAAAAATCAAAGTGTTAGGCTCCTTTGGTCACAATTTGTGTTTTTGGGAAATTTTTTTTTTGAAAAAAGTTAAAAAAAAAAGTTGAATTGGACGGATATTACGATGTAGGAATTACAAATTGTAAAATACCCCTATGTTTGTTTTTTTACAAAACACCCCTATAATAAAACATTAAAAGTAACAAAACACCCTAAATTCCACCCTCAAATACGGACAGCCGGCCACCACCGCCGGAGGGTGGCCGGAGTCGCCGTAACAAAAACATTAAAAATATTTAGGGGTATTTAATTGAATTAACAAATTTAGGGGGTTTAAAAAATATTGAATAAAGTTGAATAATATTGTGAGTTTTTGGGTATTTTACTGTTTAACTTTTTTGGGAATACTAAAAGTAGTATTCCCAAAATCCAACCAAACGAAGCCTTATTTTTTAGCAATGCCCTTATATTGTCCTTATCATTAATCAAATTTACAAAAATGTCAAGTTTTTATTTAAAGGGTAAATATTAAAATTTCTTTTCTAAAAACTTGTCTTCTTTTACATAAATGCTAAACTATTTAGTCTCACATTATCTAGGATGATCTATGTTGAACATTTTTTAGTTGAAGCCAAAATATTTCTAACTTCTCAAGTATGTTTAAAGTTTCTTGACACAAAACTTTTTGTATTTCCATACTATCAACCTCATTATTACTTCTTTTCTCTTCTTGTCTAATTATAGCAATGATTTATTCTTCAGTTAAAGCAAGATGACTTGTTGCTTATATAGATGATTGAGAAATATATTGATATCCATTCGATTAGTATAGTGAAGCTGTCGAATCTAATCACTCAATTCTACATTGACTCTTTGATTCTCCTCATCCACTTCATTTGTAATTTGCAATTCATCAACATCGGGGGTCCTAATTTTGCAATGCTTAAAACAATTAGCAATTGTCCGTGACTTCACATCAATTTACCATGCAGTAACTGTATTTACAATTCCATCAAAGACACTTATCTTGTTTTAAGACACAATCTTCTATTCGTTTCAAAAGTAGACAATTGAAAGGTTGAATTAAAACTTTAATACTATTAAAACGTAAATTAAAATCCTAATATTGTATTATTAAAACATGAATTATGAAATAAGAAATTTTTGTAATTACACCTTATAACCTCCTTATAGTAATAAAATTAGTTAGTCCTACTATTATGACTATAGAAATGTTTTACTATATATAAGTAATCTATTATTTATCGTTTTATTAAAGGTATAATTGGTAAATCACTAAATTTGTTTTTTAAGAAAGGAAGTTAAAATTATTGGAAGTAGCTATACATGTTTAAGCTCCTTTAAATAATACCTTCCTCCACATGTAATCAGACATGTGTAGCGTGATGCCAACCCAATTAGAATAAGTCTAGTCGAGTCTGTGTTGAGCAAAAATTTGTCAAGCCGTAATATGATCGGCAGCAGAATAAGTTGCCTACAAACAGCCAAACAGGTCGTATTGACACAACACAGACCGTTTCCCATCAATTCCTCGTTTGTCGTACATGATTTTATGAATCGCAGGTGAAGGAAGGGTCTATACATTATACCTTGAGGGATTAATTATATCATCAAGTATGATTATGATCCCAAAGGATCTCATTGTCGATCTCACAATAAATCACCAAAAAAAAAAAAAAAAAAATTAGTGTTGAAAAAAAAAAAAAAAAAAATTAGTGTTGACTTGAGCTTAGGCGGCCAATTACTATAATTAATAAAATATACAATACATCCATCGTTATAAAAACACACAACACGAGATTTACTCAAGTCCAAAACAGTCAATTTCCTAAGAATATGTAGAGCCCAGGATCTCTAGACAAAATGCTGTTAAGGGCTACATAGCTGTTCCAGAACTGATGCATCTCAACACGCTAACAAAAACACAAGTTCCACCAACTTCCTCCAAGTATAGCCAAAGCCTGAATAGCAAAACTGAGGAATATGCTTAACAGGCAAACTATGAAGCAATGTAGACTCATCTTAACGTTTAGAATCTCAATTCAGGACTAATTCCTTTTGGGGTGTAAATTTAAAGTTTGAAAATGTTTCTTTTCTTATCCATGCCATTATGAATCAACAAAAGCTAGTCCTACCATTAAAATTTTAATAATTCTGAAACAATATAAAAGATAGTCATGCCATGAGCAGTTCACCTTCTCATCGAGTAAGAAGTCCATGAAGGGAACCAGCTACTCCACGTTTTCTCCCCTAAATTTAAAAAAAAAAAAAAAAAAAAAATCAATTCCTGCAAGCCTTGTTAATTTCAGTTTACCTCAAAATAAATTTCACTGCTCACCTTTTCATTGTTAAATAAGTCTTCTGCAATAGCTTCTGCTTGCTTTCTCTTTTTCTCTTCTTTAACAGACTCGACCATTTCTGCAGTACCAAAGTCCATATCTCTGGCATTTAGAAACAAAGTCAAATAAAGTCATTACACAAAATTCAGAATGCTATCAGCCATCAGATTGGTTGTGGAACATAGATCTTACTTATATGGGTATTTTGAAAATGGAATAAGACTGCTGAAGCTATTCCCCGACTGAGTATTTATCTACAATTATATTAAACATTTATGAAAAAGATCAGGTATCCTATAACGAGACTACGAGAGTACTTTGACACGAGATATTGAGATGCATGCAAAAACATTAATATGAACTTGGCACCGGATTGTAAGCACAAGCAGATCTCGCAAATCAAATATAAGCACAAGATGAAAATATAAGAAAATTAAAATTTTAAAACTTTTTAAAAAAGAAAAAAGTCAACACAGGGTTCCATATTAAAATCAATTGAAAATGATAGAAGTATAAAAACTTTAGTATGGTCACAATAGCCTTCCTGTTGCATTGCTGCAATACAGATCAACGAGTTCAATGTCCGGGATGAGAAGAAGGTAATTAATTTTTTCATGACAAGCATTTTGTGCCACTTTAATCACAGAGTAGTCAGATCATTTGTGAGAAAGCCAACACAATAAAGTGAAGAAATAGGTGCAATGCATGTCTGAATTTCTTAAGACAACCCACACCTTTTGTTCTGATTTGGAGAGATATTTATGGCGTCAGCTGGAATGTAAAATTTTGAGGCAATACCTTTCTGAAGCATTTGAAATTTATGACTCCATTAGTTGCTGTAGAGCTAAAAGTTGCACTTAAATTCAAATCTCGGACAACTAAATCTTGGCTGTAAATAACAACTGAATGTTCACATTCTGACTCATCAGCTTTCTCTCTGCATCGTGTCATACTATTGTTTGCATGATTGATTGATATTTCCTCTTTTCTCAGATATTTGGGGGGTTCTTTAGCAAGGACTTGAGTATCAGCCTCGTCCACCTTCTCTCTGCTTTCTGCCACACTACTGTTTGCATGATTGATAGATATTTCCTCTTTTGTCAGATATTTGGGGGCTTCCTCAGTAAGGGCTACAACATTAGCCTCGTTAGCCTTCTCTCTGCTTCCTGTCATACTATTGTTTGCATAATTGACAAATATTTCATCTTTTCTCAGATATTTGGGGGCTTCCTCAGTCGTGGCAGCAGATGTTGCATTAACCAATGAAGATGTCTGTGCTTCAACATCAGAGTCCGCAACCACTGTCTCGTCCGTGGAGCATGAAGATGAAATAAGCACTGCAAAGTGCATAATCCAATCGAATTAGTTTGATATAGTAGAGAAACAGAATGATCTTTTTCATAATATATAAATTAAATGAATAAGTAAATTAAAAAAAAAAAAAAAAAAAATTAAGGTTTCTCCAAGCAGCCACAAAAGAAACAATACTATGAATAACTGACAAAAATAAATTTTAAGATTTTGGTGCTGAAAGCCCTTGTAATTCATCTAAAGACAGTCAAAGATGATGACAAATGACTAGGGCAAAATAATTTTCATAATTTATACCAGTCAAATCAAACCACGTGTTTCGATTAAGCTTAATTTGGTAATTGCAGGAACAAGGTGTTGAAAAGCAAGATTGACAGATTGAAGTCGTCATTTGAAATCCCACCCAACTCCTTACGAAGGAGATCCAGAAAAAATGAGGATCTCAGATCCGACATCTCTAGCGAATGAGAGTCTGAGTCAGTTTATTAGTCTTGGGTCCTCTTAATCTTAACTTAGTAGGCACATTTTGGACACTATGAAGGGTGTTGATGGTGGGGGTTGGAGGGCTATGTGTCTCTAGCATGATTTTTTAGTCTATGGTTTTTTATGTTACGAGAGAAAAGAGGAGGAAAGGAGGAAAAAAGGAAAAACAAAATAATTTTCGTAGACGACAATAAAGGTATAATAAATATTTCCAATTTTGTCAACAATATATTAATCGATTCCATTGACAGGGGTGGATTTTGATTTAATTTGTATACCTTAAGGTCGGTTTTAATTAATTTTCAAAACCTTGGGGGTGGTTTCAAAGAATATATCCAAACTCAGTTTCCAACTGATTACCTTTGAAACCTCACGGATGGTTTATGAAATTAACCATAAGATATATTATTTAGGTTTCTATCCGATCATTATAAAAATTTCTCCCCAATTTCTCCTCTTTTCTTTCTGTCCCTAATTTCTTATCTTTATCTCTCCTTTCCTTTTATCCATCCTAGACCAATACAATATCCGAGCTCAATCTCATGTTATATGCTCAATCTCAGGTTATATGAGCTTCTGACTATCAACACAAACTCTACACATAAGAGAAAAAAAGTTACAGAAGAACTAGTCTTTCAGCCTCTCAGTACTGAGAAATTTTTCTGGCATATACCAAAAGCTGCATACATTATTTTGGGGCTGATGATGCACTATCTTTGAAAGGTTCTATGGTCTTGAAAAAAACAATTTGAGGCATCATTTACGTGATCTAGAGCAATGTCTCCTAAAGTATAAAAAATCATCAGTAACCTCCCTTAGATTTGACAAAATCATCACTTACCTCCTTTGACTGTGAAATCTAAAGGTCAAATTAGGATGGTCATGGGAGGTAAGTGATGATTTTATGAAATGAGAGGAAAGGTAGTAAATGAATTTGAATACTTCTGGGGTTTGAGAATATTTTCTCAAACCTCAAGTAAGGTCAGATATACTAAACCTCTTTTATTTTTTTTTTGTACAAAATAAATGAATAAAATTGGTTCTTAATTATCTCTCTCATTTTTAATTTCTCCTTAATTCTTCAATCTCTTTATTTCTTATTTATGATTCTTCTATCACTCTTGTCAAGTTTCTCTGCTATTCTCTCTCCCTCTTTTTCTTATATTTGTCTATCCTTTCTTTCTATCAGTCCTAAATAACAAAGTCCATGAAAAAACTAGGGCTCCGTTTGTTTCCTATTTTTCCACTATCTTATCCTATTATTCCATCCAATCCTATCAAAATGTATATTAGTTTTAATAATTAAAATTCTCTTCCAAATCCAATCTATTCTATTTAACTCAAAACATTAATAACAATCTTTTTCAATAAAAGTTTTAAAATTAACAAAAATACCCCCACCCACCCAAGCCATTATCACCAGCTAGCAGCTATTGCCGCTACCACCATCAGCCATCGACGCCGTAACGGCGCATGACTTGCTGGATCTGACGGCTCATACGCCGATCTATCCGTTTCCGACCAGACCTACCATGGATTTGGCCAAAAACGGCCAAATCTATGGCCAAAGATCTAGATGTTGACGACAACTATATCTTGGCCATCGTTTGACCATCAACGACAACCAGATCTGGCCGTTGACCGTAGATCTGATCGGAAAAGGCCAAGTTGGTACACGACCGGCCAGAACTAGCCAGTCGTGCGCCATTCCAACAGATTCTGCCACCTTTCAGCGATGGTGGCCGGCTTCCAGTAATATGTGGATAGGTGGGGGTGTTTTTGTCAATTTATAAACTTTTATTGTGGGAGGTGTTTAGTTAAATTAACAAACGTAGGGAGTTAAAAATAATCTAAATATTTTCTATAGATGTACCAAAAACTTTTCAAAATCTTATGCTATTCAGCACAAAATGCTATTCTAAAAAACTAACCAAACGGAGCCTAGAACTTCTAGAGGATCTTTTGCGATCAAATATTATTTTCTTCTGTTGAAGTGTATAATTCTATATTAAGATATTAGAATTGTAATCAATATATATTAAGAACAAAATCTATAAAATAGGAAGTTAGATCATTCATTTCCTAGATTAGATTATTTGTTTCCTAGATTAGTTCTTTATTTTCCTATATATTGATGTATTATTTTTTTTATCAAAACACAAGAAATATAAACACACTATTAGTTCTCTTTGATTTTTCACATGGTATCAGAGCTAGGTTGTCAAAAATTTAAAATTTTTTTTTTCCAACGACGATTAAGCGTCTCTCTCCAATGGTCAGAACCTCCACCTGACCATACACGTCTCATCGTCTCTATCTCGCCGGCAGAACCTCACAAAGATCGACGTCATCGACCGCTGCATGCGCCTCCATGTGTGGTGTTTCTTTCTAGCAGATCCAACTCTGATCACCTTTTTCGGCGAGCGTCAGCTCTCACCGTCGACACCACCTTGCTCAGAAGACGACAGCGAGCAAAACCCATGAAGGTTCTACTGCCTTCAACGTCAAACTCCGAAAGCTTCACCGGATTCCGTCGCTGTCCTCGCCAGATCTTCTGCTCTGATCTGTTTGTTTGATCCGTGTTACCTCTGGTTTTGGTTTTCCAATCAGATTTGCTAGTTATCATGGTTACTTCTAGCTCAAACTCCACTTTCGGTGGTTTTTCTTTCTTGTCTCTCCCACTAATCACCACTGATAAGTTGTTGGGAGTGCGAATTATTCTTCTTAGGCTGCCTCTGTCGAGTTATGGTGTACGGGTCAAGGTCTGGAGGATCACTTGACCACAAAGGCTGCCAACATTACATCAGATAAGTCTTCCTAGATCAAAATTGATGCTTTATTGTGTAATCCATTATGGCAGTCAATTGACAATAATCTACATCCCATTTACAAAACATACCGCACATGTTGTGAGATATGGAGTCAGGCTAAACTACTATATACCAATGATATTCAATGCTTGTATTCCATTGTGTCCAATCTTATTCATCTAAACTACTTATAAAGGAGAGCCAAGAGATCGTGGTCAAAGCGGGCGACCCAAGTGTAGTTACTGTCATCATTGGGGGCATACCAAGGAAAAATGTTACAAATTACATGGTCGCCCTACTCGGACCACTAATGTTGCTCAGGCTAACCTTCGTTCTGACTCTTCTGAAGGACACACTCAACCATCACTAACTCTCATTGGGGCTGATTATGAAGAATACCTCCAATTTCAAGCAAATAAGCAGTCTTCTTCATCTATTGCCTCTATCGCTCAATCAGGTAATTCAGTTGCATGCCTTACTTAGTCTTCTTCTCTTGGACTTTGGGTTCTTGACTGGGGTGCCTTTGATCACATTTTTGGTAACCCTCAATTACTTGCTCATTTAACTAATGTTGCATCTTTACCATCCGTTACTTTAGCCAATGGCTCCAAAGCTGTTGTTAAAGCTATAGGTCATGTCAAACCACTTCCATCCTTAGAATTAGACTTTGTTCTCTATATTCGCAATTGTCCATTTAATCTTGTCTCTGTCAGTAAACTTACCCGCTCTTTAAATTGTTCTATATCTTTTGATACTAACTCTGTTGTTATACAGGATCGAGGCACGGGACGAATGATTCGCGCAGGACATGAGTCACAAGGCCTCTATCATCTCCATCTACCATTTATAGCATGCACTGTCTCTGAATCTCCAGCACTCCTTCATAATCATTTGGGTCATCCTAGTTTAGTGAAGCTTAAAAAGATGCATCCTGGTCTATCTAATTTATCATCTTTAAATTGTGAGTCATGTCAGCTTGGAAAACATTTTCGTAGCACCCTTCCAAAGTGTGTCAATAAACGGGTTGCGTCCCCTTTTGAGTTAGTTCATTCAGATGTGTGTAGACCTTGTCGTGTGTCATCTGTTTTAGGTTTTCAGTACTTTGTTACCTTTATTGATGATTACTCACGTTGTACTTGGTTATTCCTAATGAAAACTTGTTCCGAGTTATTTTCCATCTTTGAATCTTTTTGTGCGGAAATTAAGACTCAATTTAATTATGTTATTCGAGTATTACGCAATGATAATGCTCGCAAGTATTTCTCTGATCCCTTGACTAAATTCATGTCTTCTCAGGGTATCCTTCATCAGTCCTCTTGTGCTTATACCCCATAGCAAAATGGGGCTGCTGAGCGTAAAAATAGACATCTCATTGAAACTGCCCGTACCTTGCTTTTACATAATAAAGTCCCCTTTCAGTTTTTGGGCGGACGCTGTTTTGACTGCCTGTTTCTTAATAAATCGGATGCCCTTTTTTGTCCTCAACGACAAGGTACCTCATTCCATTTTATTTCCCAACCAATCGTTGTATTCTATCCCTCCTCCTGTCTTTGGGTGGACATGGTTTGTCCATGTTTTCCCTCTTAGTTAGGACAAACTGGCAGCTAAATCTACTAAGTGTATGTTCTTAGAGTATTCATGTCTTTAGAAAGGATATAAGTGTTATTCTCCATCAACACATCGCCATTTTCTCTCTACTGATGTTACGTTTTTTGAGTCGTCTCCATTCTTTT